GGAGCCAGGAGAGAATCAAGGCAGAGGCTGGCCAGAGTGTCTGACTAGCCCAGCCTCCTTCAGCCAGCAAAGCCTCCTGTGTGCCTTCCCTGCCTAACCTGCCCTCTCTGCACCTGTTAGGCGGAGCTCCTGGTTTCCAAGTAACCAAATTTTATGAGAGTACCTTTACATTTGACTCTTACACTGATCTTCATATTAAACCCATTTTACAGAAGAAACTGAGACCCGGGGAAGCTACACAACTTTCACAGCCAGAAAGCAACAGATTGGGGCTCTGAGCCCAGGAGTTCAGATGCTAAACTCCCCTGCCTTTCCCTTTCCCAAGCCAACAGCTTGAGAAGACCCAGCCTGAAGGCTTCCTGAATCCCGAGTCCAGCCAGGACGTGACACTGGCTCCCCGGCCCTCCAGATGTGCCTGCTCATGCTTCCCCTGGGCTTGAGCCGTCTCCCCCACAGGCCATGAGTTTTCCTGCCTTTGGGTGTCCCCATTAGTCACAGTCTGTCTGAGAGCCCTCAGATTATCTGAGTGAGAACAGAAACAACTTGTGGTGTTGGCCAGGTCGCCCGATTAATCAGCTCAGGCCGGAGCCTGCCAGAGTGTGGTCAATGCCAGAAATGATTATTCTCAGAACCACAGCCTCCTGCTGCCTGCAGCTGTCCTGGGAGGACCTGACTCAGCCAGGGAGATTCCCAGAAGGGGAGCTGCCCACCTGTGTGAGCACTGGGGTGCTCTGTCCTAGGAAGCTCACAGTGACAAGGGGCAAGGGCAGGGGCAACCAGCAAGAGGAGGCTTGGGCTGAGCAGGGACACATGAGCTGGCGCTGGAGTCGGGGAGGAAGTAGGGACTCATTCTGTTGTTTGGAGGATAGAGAAGAGGTTTCCTCTGAGGCTGGCCAGCTGTGCTCACTGGAAGAAGGGATTGGAAAAACAGTGATTTTTTTAAGGTAGCTAAATCTGTGCACATCCCCAAGTCCTCACTGGTTCCTGCATTGGCGTGAGTTTGCAGCACAGGGGCATCTAGTGCATCTGCTTCTGCATGCGTCAGTCTTGGCAGGAAGTAGGGACTTGACACACCAACGGGGCCAATGTGGATGGCCAGCTCCCGGGACTAGCTGTCTGGGGAGCTATGGTTAGTCCTGGGCCTGCAGGAGGAAGGGAGAGAGGAGTTGGGGAGCAACACTCGGAAGGAGCTGACGTCTTTAGCAAAGGGCAGCAGCTAACCCAAAGCCACTCTGGTCGAGGGACTCACTCCTCCTTTGGTCCCTGTTCTCCTTCCATCTCCTACTGACCTGAGTCAGCACAAGCCAGAGAGCAGGGAGCCGAGTGGATGTTAGGCAAATAAAAAGCAGACAGCACAGTCCTGGCCTAGGGCAGGAGCCTCCTTCACACCTTCCTGTGGCTGCCAGTTCTGCAGGTTGTCACCAAATTGGACACCTGGGACATGCAGCGAAGGAGTTGTCCTCAGGTTCTGCCTTTAGGTAAAATGCCAAGACAAAAAGCCCACAGGAGACTGGGAATGAAGTGGAGGCCAACGTCACTGACACCAGGAGTGGAGAATTTCTGACCATGTCTCTGGAACCCAGCCCAGAGCCAGGGAGGATTTCTGTGGGCAAGAAAGATGGTTATTAGCGCAGCATTTCAAATCAGCATTCCAAGCGCATGGGCCATAATTTACCTTTCTCCAGGCCCAGGAATGTTCTGGAACGCATGCTTCCTTTTCACTTAGTGAGCTGTTTCTTGTTTATAAGGACGGCGAATGCCAGGTTCCATTTACAAAACAACAAATTCTGCTGTTCCTGCCAGGACAGGTGGACATCTTGACACCAAGTACCAGAGCGAAGCCCAGCCAAAAGAAGGAGCAGGCAGGGCCGTGTATTTCTTCGCCTTTCCAAATCTAGCATTTTCTTAGGGACAGAGTGGTCAGAAGTGCCAAGCTGGATTTCCAGCAGCCAGTTCCATATCTTTAAGGAACTGGAAATAAGAGTCATGCTGTTCTGTCTCTGAAAAGTGAAGCATGAATCAAAAGGGACTTTATTTTAAGCGTACTTAGGCAGCGAAAGGGGCTGGTTGCGTTTGGACATGTATAAACAGAGATCTTGGAGCAGAGAAAGAGAGGCAGGGAAACAGCCCGCTGCGGCCGCCATGCTGCGCCATCTCTCGTGGCCGCTATTCTGTAGATGATGGGGCAGGAGTCGTGCAGCGTGGTCTTCTAAGGGTTTACTTTGTCATAATGTTTCCACAGTCGTGTGCAGGGCCCCTGAGAGTCAGAATCCTGAATCAGGCAGCTGACAAGAGGGGTTTTAAACACCCCTCTTCCTCCTGCAGGGACAGGACCAGGCAGAAGCTGAAAACTGCAAGAAGCAGCTTCAGGATCCGAATCTCCAGCCAAAAGAAGGAGCAGGCAGGGCCATGTATTTTTTCGCCTTTCCAAATCTAGCATTTTCTTAGGGACAGAGTGGTCAGAAGTGCCAGAAGTGTCATCTAGTGTCAGAAGCAGATGCACTAGATGCCCTGTGCTTCAAACTCACACCAATGCAGGAACCAGTGAGGACCTGGGAATGTGCACAGATTTTGCTACCTTAAAAAAGGTAGAAGTGCCAAGCTTGATTTCCCTTGGGAACAGAGTGGCCTTAGGGGATTCACAGAATCTGTGTCCTGATCTGTGAAATGGAGAGAATAAAACTGCTTCTTGCTGGGATGGAAGGAGGTCCTGCATAACGCTAAGGCCGCAGTAGAGGTTCAAGACCTAAAAGGGTATTCGGAGAACCTAATTCCAAAAATAACATCAGTGATAACAGCTAACACCTACTGAACCCTGGTGTGTACTGGGCATTGAGCTAAGGGCTTTACCTAGTTTAACTCATGTAATCACCTGAGCCCCCTTTTCAAGTAGTGTTCTTATTTCACAGGCAAAGAAATGGGCACACAGAGGCAAAGAGACCTGCCCAAAGTCTTCCTGCCAGTCAGTAGTGGAGCTGGGATTCAATTTCAGACGCTGATTTTCCAAGCCAAGCTCTTAACTACATTCAGCGTGGCAATTTTTTTTTTTTAAAGCAGACGGATATTTTCAGGCATGAATAGTTAATCCCAAAAAACCCCACTTGCGAAGATTTTGTAAGAAGGAGATTTCAAAATGGGGACCAGAAGAGAAGGCCGATCCAACCTCTGAAGGTGCCTGTTGAGACCGCTGGCTGGTGCCCAGCAGGAAAAGCAGAACCTCCTTGCTCTCCGGGCTACTCTTCCTCCCCTGCCCCCTCCTGCTCCAGCTGCCTCCCCCTGCTAGGGGACCTCCTGCCCTCTAATGCATGGCTACCAGATCTACTGGGAGACTCACCTAGAGGCCAGGTCAACACCCTGAGCCAGAGAGGGGCCAGCAGAAGGTAAGACTCTGCCTGGTCCAGCTCCCTGGGCCCCTCCAGCCTGCACTCACATTCACTGTCCGTCTCACCCAGCCATCTGTCCTCAGACCAACCCACAAGCTCCTGCAGACTCTGCAGTGACCAATTCCAGACATTCATTTCACAAACAGGAATGGGGTGCCCTGCTATGAGCAGGGCACTGGGCCCAGAGCAAGGGCCTTGCAGACAGAGAGCCGTGTGCCAACAATCCCAGCACAGAACCCTGGGAAGGCGCCATGGGAGTCCAGTGGGGCTCAGCTCACATGGCCTGCGACAACCAACAAGGCTCCTCGGTCAGGTGACTTCTGAGTCTTCAAACTGGGGCAGGATTTCAGGCAATGGCAAAGGAAGTCTTTTGAGGGAGGAGAGCCACAGGAGCCAAGACTTGAGTTGGGAACGAGCAGCAGGTACTGAGGAAACAAGGAAGCATGGGATAGGATGCAGGTGGAAATGAGGGCTCTGGATCCAGCTGCCTGGTTTGAATCCCAAAGCCTCCATTTCATACCTGTGTGACTGTGGGCAAATTATCTGACCTCTCTGCCTCAGTTCTCCACGTGTAAAATGGGAGTAATGGGAGTAATGGTAGCATCTCATTTTAATGCTTACAACAGTGCTGTAGATGTTGTAGATGCTCAATAAATACTACCTGTAACTTTTGTTACTACTATTACTTGTGGAGAGGACCAGGGCAGGAGTCCAAGAGGCAGTGAACTTAAATGCAAAGCCCCAGGTCCTGGTGGCCCCAGATTGAGCTCCAGCAGGGGGAGAAAGACCCAGAGTACAACCCTGAACTGCATTTATTGAGTGGCCACTGGTGTGCCTGCGCTGGCGACACCCAAGTGAACGCTGAAAGGCCACTCTTCTCCCAGCTTCTCTGCGGGTTCTCTCTGTGGGTTTCCCAGAAGAGGCCAATGACAGCCACCAGCCCTGGGAGCACATATGGATGGAGAAGGGCCCTCCTGTTTGGTTTGGTTTGTTGTTGTTGTTTGTTTTTTACACCAGGCCCACTCTGAGGCCCACGCAGCGCTCCGGAGCTGTGGCCAGGTCAACATGGAAGTGGTGCCGGTGGGGATGCTGGACCTTCAGGGCAGGCGTGCGCGAGCCTCAGCCACCTTGGCTGCCTTGGCAGGCGCCTAGCCTGTGGCCTGCGGTCTGTCGGTGTGACAAGCAGGGCGTGGACTGGCAGGTCTGGGTGTGCCCGCGGGTGGTGGGAGCGGGAGGAATCGGGGCACAACGTGGCCCGGGCTTCCTGAGGAGGAAGGGACCCGCCGGCGTCTCCGGCCACTCCTGCCGCCGCGTGCGCGCTGGCAGTCAGGGGGCGCGGGCGCCGCGCAGGGTAAGCAGCCGGCGTTCCAGACTGTCGCCGCGCAGGTACGTGTCTCCGGGAGCCAAGCTGGTCCCCAGCGCAACAGGCCCGGGAAACCGTTTGGGGGCCGCGGCCTGGCCCCGGGCTGTGGTGGCCAGCTGGGCGCCTTCTCTGGCGAGGTCCCGAAGCGCGGCCGCCGCGTGCGCGCGCGGGGCGCGGGGCAGGTGCGGAGCCGCGGGGGCGCGCGTGCGTGTGTGCGCCCCGGGGCGGAGACGCGGCCGCGACCACCCGGGGTCTGTTCCCCACGAGCGCCTGTGCGGCGGGTCCCTCTCCTGGTGGGGGGGTGTCTCCACCTGTGGTCGCCGCCGGGGTTAGCAGCCACCCCCACGGCTGGCTCCGTGGCCACCTGGTAATTACTTCCCCCCAGGAAAAGTGTCCGACCGCTAACCCTTCATTTCCCAGAGCTCCGCGCCACCGTGAGCCAAAAATTCCTTTCGGGCTCTTCCTTTCCTCCCCCCAAATCTGCGCGGCCCCTGCCCGCGAAGGGCACTGAGATCAGAACAGGCGGCCGCCGCCGAGGGAGGGGAAGAAAGCTCCCCGTGAGTGACTAGTCGGCAGGAGGAGGGACCTTGGTCGCTGGTTGGCGGGGGACCCCAACTCTGGCGATCAAATGGCCCAACTGAGAACCCAGCGGCGCCGGTAGTCCTCCAGTGGCCCAACCCTGACTAGTGGCCAGATGCACCAGCCAGGGCGCAGGCTCTTGGGGATTTAGCAGTGGCAGAGGAAGAACACTGACTAGGAAAGGACCCGGGGCTGTGTGGCTTTGGGCCGGTGGCTGGCAGTGGCTGTGAAAGGGAGGTAAGAAATACTAACCATGGCCACCTAGCAGAGAGAGGAGAAAGAGGGCGGGGGACCTTGAAAGGATACAAATTTGAGATGGAAGAGTTATGCTTCTCTTCTCCCCATCCCCACCTCCCCTCCCAAAGCCCAGGTCAGCTTCCGAGAGGGAGGAAGGGAGGGAATTCCGGAGCTTGACAGTAGAAGCCGTGGGTTGTGTGAACTGGACTGTTTGCAGTCCAGAGCCCAGTTCCAGAAGCAGATGGCCTGCATTCAGATCCCACTTAAGTGCATGCTGAGCAGGTGCTCTACCACCCAGCTACATCCCCAGCCCAAACTGCCTCTTTTGAAGCTTCGGTGTCTCCTGAGAAATGGGTAGAGCTCACTTCCTAGGGTGGTCATGAGATCATGCAGGTAGAGCTCTTACCTTGAAAACCTCGCCATGCCCCTAAATGTCAGCTCTGAGAATTCTTGTTTTAACTGTGATATTGCACCCTGCTGGGTAAACCTCACTGTGGGGAGAGAAGACTAACAGGAAGCAGAGTGGAAAGTAACTAGCCTTCTGTGTTGGCGCAATGAGGAAGATGGCGGTGGTGGAGGAAGGACATGAGCCTTAGATTCAGAATTCCTTTTTCAGCCCTGCCAGCTGGCTGGCCTCTAATGACATACTTTACCTTTCTGAGGTTTTATAGCTCATGGAGGAGGTGGAGATAATAATATTTCACAGAATTGCATAAAAATTCAAATCCAATAACCTTACTCGAATGACTCTAGCACATGATAAGTCCTAAAGTGATTTGGGGTAAAAGTGATATTTATGTTCCAGCTATCCATCGCCACATGAAAACCACTTTGGAAGATATTTACTTGAAAGAATGCCCATTTATTTGGCTCACAGGCCGGTGATTTGGGCAGGGCTTGGTGGGGATGGCTGATCTCTGCTCCTTTGTAGCATCAGCTGAGATGGCCTGCCTGGGTCTGGAGGACCGTCTTCGGTGATCACACTATACCTGTATGGCAGGCAGGTTGATCCTGGCTGTCAGTTGGGAGTGTAGCCAAAGTCATCAGCCAGGATCTTGTTTCTTTTGGGTTTTCTCACGGTGTGGTACTTGGGTTTCAAGAGCTGTGGTCTCTGAGGCCTGGGCTTGAGCTGGGACAGAGTTGCTTCCACCTTATTCTGCTGGTCAAGTTGTCACAGAGCCTAGACTCCCATCTCTCCATGAAAGGAATTGCAAATAGTTTGCCATCATCCTGAGTCTACCCCAACTTGAAAGTATTCCCTGTTATTGTTATCCCCCGCTCTGGGTGCCATGAATGTCTTCATCCTTTGCAAAGATGAAGGGCTTCTTCAGGAGAGGACCAGCTGAGATCCAGATGTCCATGACAAGGGCCTGATCACCCAATCAGCGACTCTGGTCCCCATTCAAGACTGAGGAGGCAGGTGTCCTATATGGTGGCCTCCCTAGCATCTGTTTCTCAGGAACCTCTCAGACTCCAGTCCCTGCCTCTGCCAACACGGTGCCCTTAAAACAAGGAGAAACCCGAGACAGAGTAATTTGGATTCAGGGAAATAGATTTTAGCAGGTGGCCTGGGGTTGAGTGTCAGGTGAATCTTCGCAGTTCTCAGCTCCCTGGATGAGGCTGTTTATTTTCGAGAGGGCTGCTGCCTGGGTGTTTGCGGTAACTGTTGTCATACATTATTAGTTTATTAATTGATGGGGTGGAGCAGTCTGGGTTGGGAGACAGGAGATGGTGGGGGCGGCAGGCCGGGGTTGCCATGGCAACCCCAAGGCCTGTGGTCTGTGCTGCAGGCTGCAGGCGGGAGGGATGCCCTGGGCAGCGCCAGCCTCCCCAGACCACAGACTCTCTCGGCTGGAAGTCTCTCTGCGGGCAGCAGGCCACCGTGGTGATGCACTTCCACGCAGGGCCGACCACCCACACCCTTCCTCTTCCTGTTGTCTCATCCATCTCCTGTCTGTCTCCCCCAGTTCATTGGCTTCTAACTGGCCTTCCAGACAGGCTGCAGGAAGAAACGAAATTTAGACTCACACATTCATCAAACGCTGGACATGGTCAGCGTCCATTTTCCCTGCAGAGGGCAAAACGGACCCAGCAACTCCTTCCCCAGAACCCTTACTCCCTGGGAGTGATGGGCACTCACCATCGTACAAGGTCCCTGAATCCCCAGTCCCCTTTACTGAAACACGTTGAACTCAGACCTCGACCTGGCCCTGTTCGCACACGACCCTAGTCTGTCTTCAGTGGTGACATTCGCCTGGCTGCAGTGAGGTAGCCTGTGGGAGGCCCTGTGCCTGGCTTAGGGTGGTATGTCAAGTCACAAAAGTACCCGTGCTGTGTCCCCTTGCTCACCTGTCCCCTTGGAATCGCTGCCGGCCTCCTCCTGTGTGAGGAGCGCTGGCCCAGTTCTCCCAGCCACAGTGAGAAAACACCCAACACTGTTAGAAGTCTCAAGTCAGCCAGGGGAGGTGAAGAGAACCCAGAGAAGGATGGGGTCCAGGCAGGGGCCATGCAGGGAAGAGAGGTTCTCCCTCTGGGTGTCGGGAGCACTGTGTGGAGGAGGTGGGGTTGGGCCCGGGTAGGAATGCAGCCTCCCGGACTTCAGCCCTAAGAGATTCTCCTTCAGCGAGAGCAGGCAGGGCCCGGAAACCTGCATTTAACAGCCCCAGCTACCGCATCCTGATACAGGGGTCCTGAGGTTCAACTGGAAAACAATGTTTTTGAAGAATTTGGGGGGTGGGATTTGGCATTGAAGATTGGGAAGAATATGGAGGTGGTGAGAGACATTTTGAGTAAAGGAACAACGAGACTGGGAAGCAGATGAGCTCCGAGTAGGACCACAGCCCAGGGTGTCCAGGACTGGGGGGCGCCTCCTCCCCTCCACTCTCGGCCTTCTGCTGCCCGCCCTCCCCTCTCAGGGCACAGCTCAAAGCCCATCCCCCCAGCGGCTCCATCACAGCTGCCCCCCACCCCCTGCACATCGCTGGTCAGTCCCTGCGGCTTTGGATTCTTTGCCCTAGACTTTGTCCTGGTTGGGGGGAGTGGAGGGCAACGTCCAGATCTCTCTCTCCTTCCTTCCCAGCCCCCCTTTCTTTCAGTTAGTAAATATTTATTAAATCCCAACCATTGGTGCAGCACAGTTTTAATCATTCTCTTTCTCAAGAGAGAAATTGGGCCTCAGCTCGTGGTCCATGGACCCTGTTAGCAGTGCAGACCTCAGGCCCCCACCCAGACCTACCGAACCGGAAACTGCAGTTCAGTGAGATTCCTGGAGACTGGTGTCCACACCGACAGAGAAGCGCCGTTGTATGGGGTTTTAACATGGCGTGTAGGGAGGCAGCATAAAGCCCCCAACCCAAGGTGTCCAGGTCCTACTCCCAGAACCTGTGACCAGGTTGCCTTATACTGCAAAGTGGCACCAAAGTAGCAGGTGGAAGTAAAGTTGCTAATCAGACGACCTAAGGAGCTGGCCCTATGTTCCTGGGTGGAACCCAAATTATCACAGGGTCCTTAAGAGTAAAAGCGGTGGCAAGAGGGTCAGAGGAGAAGATGTGCCGAGGGGGGCAGCAGACACGGTGCAGTGTGAGAGGACTCAGCCCACCGCCCCGGCTCTGCAAATGCAGGATGTCCTGGCCAAGCAACATGGAAGCCTCCCCAGGGCTCCTGAGAAGGAACACAGCCTGGTTGGTGCTTTGATCTTAGCCCAGTAAGACCCACGTCAGACTTTTGACTTCCAGAACTGTAATTTAAGACATTTATGTTCTTTAGGCCACTGAGTTTGCGGGGATTTGCTATCGTATCGCTGAAACACAAATGCAGTCTAGAGCCCTGTCCTTGGAGTCAAACACCCCTGGGTTCAAATCTCAGCTGTTCTTACCAGCTATGTGACCTTGGGCAACTTGCTTGTAGCCTCTAGTTGCCTCCTTTATAAAACAGGGACAGTCCTGCCACATAGGGTTGACAAGAAGATTAAACTGGAGTGTATTCAGAGGGTGCTCACCACAGTGCCTGGCCACAGCACATGCTCAGGAAGTGGTAGTGGCCCCTGGCATGCTGAGTTGCTCTCGGTCCTTCTCTAACACCAGGAGGGCCTTGGGTAGGTTCTCTGGTCCTCCTCTTCTTGGTCCTTGGGACTTCCAGCAGAGCCATCCTTAGTTCAGACCTGTCCCCTTTCAAACCTGCAACATTGCGGCACCACCAGATGTCCAGGTGACCTTTGCAGCAGCTCCTGGGTGTGAGCATGTGCCACAGTGTCAGGCTGCTGCTGGGGACACAAGTCAGCAAAGGCCCCTACAGCCATCTGCAGCTGGCTGGTCAAAGGCCCGACTTGTATTCATCCGCACCCCTGGAGAGCCTCTGAGGCCTCCACCCCAACTAACCCCAAGTCAGTAAGTGATCTGAGCAACTCACAGCTGATGGGGATGGCCCGGCGCTCCCTAACTGCCGTCTACCAAGGGGCCTGCCCATCCCGTGCCCTATCCAGGGGAGCCAGATGGTGGGGCAGGAACTTCAGGCCCGAGGGATGCCCTCACCACCACCATCTCCAGCACCAGGACATCCCCAATAACTCTCTTTGAGGACCTACTAAGTGTAGGCCCCACGGGGACCTCATATCCCTTGACTCTCACAGAAGCCCACTGACATGGGACTCTCAGGTCTCAGAGCCAGGAAGTCACAGCCTTGGCATTTTACCTCGAGGTCTGGGCCAGATCCCCTGCTCTTCACCTCTATCCCATGTGACCATGGAGTGGCTGTCACATGCTGGAGGCCTTGCATGGTGCCACCAGCTTGGAGCAGACCCCAAGGTTCTCTCTAAGCTGGCTCCCAGGCTGCCCAGAAGGGGAGCCCACAGGGGTCTGAAGGCCTTGTGGCCTCAGATCCTGTGGCCCTGAGAGCAGCCCAGCACAGCTGAGAAAAGCCCACAGCCCTTCAGAGCCAGGCCCAGGAGCATCACAGGGACATCCAGGGCTCAGGCCAACCTCCGGGGGCTGCCACCCCAGTGGGAATCCATGGTGTCTCGTGACTGTCATCACTGGGGTGGGGGAGGGAGAATATGAAGGAGAAGGTAAAGCAAGTGGCCCGCTGAGTTGCTCTAGGCCCTTCTCTAACACCAGTCCAGGCCCTTCTGTCTTCCTGAGATGGCAGGAGCCGCAGGGGTAGGTAGGTGGGGCCCAGACTCAGGCTTCTCACCCTTCACTGAATCCCACCTCTGCTCAGGGGCCACTTCTTAGATTCTGCCACTTTGGGCTGAAGGGCAGAAGCTTGGAAGTTGGGCACATAGTTTCTCCTGAAACTGCAGTTTCAGGATAGGTCCACTATTTTTAAAACTCTAAAAATTTTTTGAGTGGTTGATGGACCTTTATTATATTTATGTATATGCAATGCTCAGAGTTGAACCCTGGGCCTCACACGTGCTAGGCAGGGCTGAGCCACAACTCCAGTCCCTGCTATTTGTCTTAGTTGTAGGATTTTTGGAGAAGGTTGGGGCGGGGTGGAGTGTGACCACTGCATCATATCACTAGTACTACTAGTCTTACCTTCCTGTTTTAGGTTAAAAACAAAAACCTAGCACCAAGAATATGGTGTGGGCACTGTGGGCATTTGCTGATGCAAATAAAGCTGAAGTCGGCCGCACCCCTCCAGCCGCATCCTGGAGGCCCAGTGGGGAGGGAAGGTGGGGGGTCCTTGGCCTGTAGACAGGGAGGTCTCCTGCTTCAGGGGAGGCTCCGTGCTTTTGCTGGGAGGGGTCCTGGGCAGCCTGGGGTACTTGCTGGTCCCTGGGGGTGTTGAGGGGAAGAGGGGCTCAGTGCCACACTGTTCCTACAGGTGTAGACGGTGATGGTGTAGATGACCCGGGTCTGTGTGTCCTGTTAGGCTGGGCCACCCTGTGAAAAGAGTCAGAGATGTCCTCTTTGGTGGGTGTGACCTGGGGTAGCCAGGCAGTCACCATCAGTCTGGCCTCCTTTCCCCCAGTCTTCTCATGTGACATCAGGGAAAGACAACCCCACCCCATAACTCAGGAATAGCGTCTGTGTCCACGTGCAGACTACTCACAAGCCTTGCTGTCACTTGAGGCAATCGATATAAGGGACAGTTGAAAAAGGCTGCTGTGTGGCAGCATTTACTGGGAGGGACCCCTACGGATGTCAGGGAAGTCCCCTGACTTTAGAGAAGACAGGTCAGCAGATCACCTGACGCAGCAGGGAGAACTCATGTCCCTGGGGCCCCATGCACATGGGTTTCCTGGCTCCCCAGGACCCTTCCCAAGCAAGAGCCTACCTTGGAGGGAGGGAGTCGAGGCGAAAGGGCAAGGTGCCAGAAGCCAGCATCTTCCACCATGGCTCTGCCATCTTCGGCTGCCGGTTCCTGGCCCAGCGCCTGTGCCCCTCTGTGAATGGAAGGCTGGGTAACCTGCAGGGGGCTTAGCACCAGGATTGGTGAGTGCTCCCGAGGGGCGGAGCCCTGGCGCAGTCCGTCCCTGCTTCCCTCCATGGTTTGGAAAACTGAGCTTCCCTTATTTCTGCACAAAGCCTTCACCCCACTGCCCTATTGGCCTGCAGACACATCTTGGCCTCCCCCACAGCAGCAGCTCCCCACCCTGGTGGCACTAGAGCCATCCAGGGAGCTTTGTACAACATTGGTGCCTGCACACTTCAATTAGCCCGGGGTGGGGCCAAGGCCAGCTTGCTCTTATAGGCTCTGGGGTATTTTCTAAGGCATGTGGTCAGAGCTGAGACCCACTGACCCAGATGTTGGTAGTTGCGGGCAGGGGGTGGTAACAGCTTAAGGGCCCCTGTGAAAACAGCTTCCTCCCTCCTTTCCCGTTGCCCCTTTGTCCTTGCTGGTGTCCACAATGCAGCGGTGATGGTGATGTGTGCTAGGTCCCCGGGTGTGGGTCTGAATGGTTCCTGTGAGGACTCCATGTCCCTTCTCTCCTGGTATCCGGCAGGTGCCCAGAAGTGGTTTGAATTAGTGCACCCCAGTCCTCCTGTGCCCACCCACTCCCCAGAGGCGCCTGCCCCACTTGGGTCTTAGCATTCCAGCTGCGCGGCTCATGGAAAGTGCGGGAGGATGGAGATGCGTGGAGAGATCCGCTCTGCCGCCCTCATCCTTCTGCCGGCTGCGGTTCCCCAGCAACCGCCCAGCCTGACTCCAGATTGGAGTTCACATGATCCTGCTCAGCTCCGGAACGGGCAGCCTCCAGCCGGGGGTTTTCTAGACAGAGCGGGGAGGTTGGGTCTGCGCGTAATTGCGGGAGAAAGAGCCTGTCCCGGCGGAGGGGTCACCCCGGCTCTGCGGAGCCGTGGCAGGAGCCCAGCAGGGCGTGCAGAAGCCCAGCAGCCTCGTCCCAACTCCCCACCCCCTAGAGGACGCCCTCCCTTCGGATTCCAGGAGTAGCTGGACTTTGCTGCCTGCACCTCTCCTGACTGCAGAGACCACACTGCCTTCCCCGGGGGAGCCAGAGCCTCCAGCAGAGGCTGGGCAGTGCAGGACCGGCCCATTGGTGGATCAGGAAGTCAGTCTCGTAGCTCATGACCTGCATTTTAAATATTGAAACAGAACAGAAAATATCAGAATGCATGGGCAGTAGTGGGGTAAGTGTTGCTTGGGGAAGTTCACTTCTCTGGGTGTATGTGTGTGTGTGTGTCCATGTCCCAGCGCGCTGGGTCAAGTGCACAGCATGTTTCCTGCTATAGTTTGTGGTCCAAAAAGCTTAAAGGCAGCCCATCCAGTGCATGGGCGCCGGGGTTCTGGGTTCTGGGTTCTGGGTTCAGATTCCCTCTGACTTGCTGTGTGAGCTTGGGGCCCTTCTGTGTCTAGCCTCTGTGGGTCTCCGATTCTGGGAAATGGGTTCATGTGACTCATGGGGACTTTGTGAGCCCTGAGCAGACTGACATTTCAGGCCATTCCAAGGACTTCAGAAATGAGACCCTGTTGTCCTGTGGGAGTGAGGCTCTGCCGGGTAAAGGTGGGGCTGAGGAAAAAGGCAACCTGACTCCTGCACCTTCCTTAGAGGGACATAGTTTCTGATTTTGAGCCCTTTTAGGAAAGGAAATGGCCAGCCCCAGGGAGTTGAAGCTGGGCCAGCAGGAAACTCCCCAGCTCTGAGGGCTGGGGACCTCCTGGAGCCATCCCTAACGTGAGTAGCTGTCTGCGGGTCTGAGTGTACCCTGGGAACGGGTGGGGAGGTAGGTGCTGCTCAAACCCAGCACCTAGGCTTCTCCGCCCCTGACTTGGACCCTGCAAAAGAGACCCCGGCCCCTGTCAAGGAGGCGTTTCCTCCTTCTGGGGGCTTAGTTTCTCTTGGTCTTTGAAGTCCTGGGAGACCTCCATGCTGATTAGCATTTGTCTAAGGGTGTGCCTCCAGGCGTGAGTCACTTGCTGCAGTTTTTCTCAGTTTCTTAGCTGGATGGTAAACTGTCCTTTTGATTCTTTTCCACCACCCCCTCCCTGGTGGGAGACCAGGGATGAGGCTGTTTTCTTTCCTCTGAGGTTGGGTGGAGCGTCCTCCAGGTTCAGGGGGCTAGCCCAGGACCTCACCTGCTGGTTCTGGTGGTGACTTCCTGGGGCCTGGAGTTTGAGCCTTGGGGTGGAGGGTGGCGGCTGCGGTCATCCTGTTAAGTGGTCAGAGAGCAAGGTTTAAAGGAGAGTGTGGGCCGGTCCAAGTTCAAGACCCAGCCTGCTGCCACGACCCAGCTGTGGGATCTTAAGCAGGTTGGTTCATCTCTCCAAGCCTCAGTTTTTCCATCTGTGAAGTGGGGGCTGATGAGTGTGGCCTGGTTGAACGTATAGAAACACACCTGGCAAGCGCAGGGCTCTGGACAGGCGTGGCCTGGCTTCCCACCCTTTTGTTTTCCACTTGGAGAACTCTCTGCATCCAGTGTGGATCAGAGTTCTTCAGAAGACCAGGAAGGGGAGGGACACTTCCCACAAGGCCTAGTTTCCATCTGGGGTGCCTGTCCTTGGGGAGAGCTGGATGTGAGAAAGCTGAGTGAAAAAGCAGGACCCTCTGTCCAGCTTAGGGAGCCCAAGCAGAGAGCCACGGAGATTCTGCCTTCTCACTTTCCTGTTTAATTAAGGCCATCTCTGTTCCGGCCTCAAAATCTCTACCACTCACCCATTCCCCACCCATCTACTTACCCACTCATCCATTCCCCACCCATCAACCTGTCCACTCACTCATCCCCCACTCATCAACCTGTTCACTACCCATCTACCAACCCATTCACCCATCCCCTACCATCTACCTACCCACTCATCCATCCCCCACTCATCAACCTGGCCACTTACCCATCCCCCACCCATCAACCTGTTCACTACCCATCTACCAACCCATTCACCCATCCCCTACCATCTACCTACCCACTCATCCATCCCCCACCTGTCCACCTACCTACTCACCCATTCCCCACTCACCAACCTGCCCATTCACCCATCCCCACCCACCAACCTGTCCATTCACCCATCCCCACCCATCTACCTACCCACTCACCCATCTTCTGCCCATCTACTTACCCACTCATCCATCCCCTTCTCATCCACCCACCCATCTATCCGTCTGTCTGCCCATTAACTTGTCCATCCAGCCATCTACTCCGGCTCATCACCTTATCCATCAGTCTATCTATCCATGCATCCACCTAGCACCCACCCACTCACTGACCCTTCCACCCATTTATCTATCCACCCATCACTCATCCATCTGTGCACTACCCCTCACCATCAGTGCACCCACCCACACACCCTTCTACAGAATTATTTTTGAGAACCTGAAGGACTAGGTACTGAGGAGCTCTCAGATTTGTCCCCACTGTTCCCCACTCTAATTAGCTGTCAGTTGCTCCAACTTCTCCTTGTCTCCTCCCTGGCCGTGCCTGCCTCATCCCTAGATCCTGGCATGCCAAGCTACTCTCAGTTCCCCAAAGGCACTCATTCTCTCCCTCTCACACTGGATGTGTTGCTCACGTTTTCCACAGAAAGAAATCCCCTCTGCTTGGGCAGCCCTTCCTCCTTTTCTTGGTCATAGCGGAACTGCTGTTGCTCAGAGCAGGCTTTCCTGACTGGGTTAGGCCAATGGACTCCCATCAAATCCATGCTCTTCTTATGAGCATGTTTCTTTTTCCTTCTCTCCTGCCTCATCAGGCTAAAAGCAACTTGGCTCTAGTATGGAGTGGAATGCCTTCTGTATAATAGATGGTCCATGAGTATTTGTTATATGAATGAATATGTGGATAGATGAGTGGATGGAGGGATAGGCAGAGGAAACAATCCGAATGTCCCCTGGTGAATGGACACATGAGTAACAGGTGGTGTGTGCATATGTGAGCATATGAGTGCATGGATGGGTGGATGGGTGGATGGATAGACGGATGGGTGGATGGTTGAGTGGGTTAATGGAGGATTGTAGAGTTCCCAAAGCAGTGTATGACTTGGGTTAGATTTGTGTCTTAGAGGACGGCTTTGAGGTGGTGAAATGGGGACAGGAAGCCCATTAGGAGGCTGTTGCCGTGACTCTGGGAGGGGTCTTGAGCCAGCCCCTCTAGGGTGCTGGTAAAGAGGAGATGAGTGTGGCAGACACTTAGGAGCTAGAAATGGCAGAACTTGGTAATGAACTTAATGCTGGGGCTGAGGGCGAAGGAGGAAGCTGAAGGCCAGTTATCCCACCTGAACGATGGGGCAGGTGGGGACATCCCTTCCAAGGGCAGGTACGTAGAGAAAGCGATGGAGCCAGCGTGGGCTCATTTTCCAGGCCCCCTTTTCTCCACGTTGCTGTTTTGTGAGGGCAGGAGCTGCCTGTGCAGCCTTCAACCTGGGGCGAGGCCTGGGCTCATCAGGGCCCCATGGGGTTGGGATTGCAGAGGAGACGCCATCCCACAGAGAGTGTGTCGCGGGGGGATGCCCGCAGCACCCACTGGACACCACGTGTGTGGCAGTCATTGGTGTGTGTGGCATGCGGCATTCCTGTCTTCCGAGCTTGGAGGTGCCCTGAGGCTGGGAGCCCCTTCTTGCTTGTCCCTCCTGTCTGGCCTGCTGTCGTGAACACTGTACCTGCTCCATGAATTCTCGTCTCAGTCTGAAACTACTGGACTGCCTGGCAAGCTGCTCGCTCTTTCTTTGGACCTCAGTTTTCTTGTCTCTTAAATGGGGACAATAACAGAGCTGTTGTGAAGATGGGTCAAGAGGACAGAAGTGAAATGCTCTGTAAACAGTAAGACGTTGCAAATAAGTAGTACAGGCACTTGGACAGTTTCAGTCACTGTTCCTTGAGAGGCTGAATCAGGCCCAGGGCCCTGTCCCAGTCCTGCTCACAGGTTCTGCTGGGCTCTGGCACCTCCGCTGCCCTGCACTGGGAACACACACAGGACATGTGAATCTTCTAGACTCTCCTAGCGCCTTGCTACTCAAAGTGTGG